TCTCTCTCTCTCTCTCTCTCTCTCTCTCTCAAGCTCTTCCTTCCCGTCTCTCCCGATTTGGTTATTGAGATCTATTGCGTATTTGTGTTGTGTGTATGTGTGTGTGTGTATATATATATATAAATGTTTGGTTTCTTCATTTTTTTTTGCCCCACTATGTCATTGTTTAGCTTACTTGAAATCTTAGTTACATTTTTTCTAGCCTTCTGATATGTAAAGTTTTTATTTCCTCAAACTCCTTATTTATCACCTCTACGTGCTTAGCATTTTTTTTTCCCATGAAGATATGATTGATTGGAAATCTAACAGTATAGATGTTCAGTGTTACAATATTATTCTTAACAATATAGATGTTCAGTATTCCAAAAAGAAGTTGATAATATTTACTCAGAAGTTATTTCCAGGCCTCGCTGAATTGCTCTCTTTGTTAAGCCCTCTCCCTTTGTGTGAGTATCTAATTCTACTTCTGGATTAGTTTATACAAGAATCTTTTGTGTATGTACTGTTTTGTTAATCCAAAGTTGAATCTATGGTGTGGATTAGATTTGGAATAAAGCTGTAAAGTTTGTAACATTTTGTGCAAAAATCTTGGTGGGATCTATAGATTAGGATTGCTTAAATTGGATTTGTTTCTTATAATGAAAGTCTGGCAATGTGCTCTAGTATGGGGTTTAGTTATAATTTGTTTATTTCTCCAATTACATTGGTAGCTTAAGGTCATTTAACAGTAAATTGTAGTCGTGTACGTGACTTGGTCAGCTTTCTAACTTAGCTGTTGTTTGATGTGTGGAGTTATAACATCAACTATAACTCTGATAGGTCTTTTGTAGCCTGACTTGGTTTCATTAACTATATTTTGGATGAGTTTTTTTTTTAAGAATCCTATTTTACAGCTCATTTTCCTTTTCAAATATACTGACTGAAATGCTTCTTATTTCTTCTAAAGTCACTGCTTTTTATAGGCATCAAAGTCATTGTCTCCCACTACAAAAAAGAATATGAAAAAAATAAAAAATAAAAAAACCCAACTATCTTCCCAAACACAAAAAAAAAATTCTCTAATAATATCCTACAACTAAAAAAACCTACAGAAAAACCCACTTCCCAAACTTTGTTTTCTGTTAATCTGAGGTTGACAAAGAGAATCCCCTTCAAGATGATATTAGTAGGGTCAATGAGGATGATTTGGCACTACACTCCAGCAAAAGTACAGAATTTGAGTCCAATAATTTGTTTGAGCCTGAGGAAGACTTGAAAGTGTCTATGGATCCGGGTGTCCCTCAAGCCACATCAGGAGATGATTGCTACTCACTGGTTGAGCGAATTGATTACATGGGTGAGGTGTTTATTTGCCTTTCACTGAGTTGTTTTGTTCTCTATTTATGCAGTTTCTAACAGTGTATTTCACACTTTGCAGCTAAACATTCTGAGAACTTGGATCTAGCGAAGGAAAGGGAAATAGATGAAGACCCCACCACAACAGGCAAATACATAGACTCAAGTTGTGTTGTGGCCCATAATGGAGTTGATGATGACAAAGCTGCTGTTTTTGCAGGGCAGAACTTACTAGAGTTTGAAGATGGTGACAACCCTGGTGAATTAAGGAACCTGGAGTTGGTTGTTGAGGACTATTTAACTGAATCTAATGAATGCAATAGTTCAATGAAAACCTCTAAAAATGTATATGTGGAAGCTGGGAAAATTAGCATTGTTGATCACTCTGAGATAGAAAGAATCAGGCCCACTATAGATTCTGGATTGTCTGAGAGAGAAGTTGCAGACAGTGCCGGCAATCCAGCTTTAAGCAGCAGCAAGAAAGTTTCTGAAGATACTTACATAAGAAGACAGGAATCTAGCAGCAATTCTTGTTTGAAGAAGCAGTGTCGTTTAATGGAGGTTTGCACGCAAAATACAGACATTGATGAGATCAGAGCTCTGATGATGGTAGAAGGCACTCCATCGTCCAATTCTGTGAAGTTGCAGAGTGATTCTGTAGAGCTAGGACAACATGTTCCTGCCAGTGAATCCTTGGTTGTTACAGAGACAGAAAACATTGTACTGGTGGTGGCTAGCAATAAGAATTTGTTCCAGGATGATATACACAAAGGTGATGATCATGATTTGGTTTCTCGATCCCAGATCCAAAGTGGAGATTTTGATCACAAAACCTTAGTCAACCTGGAGCCAGTTGAAGACCAAGATAAGGTGTTGTACAAATTGTGTAATTAAACAAGATAAATAAATTCATGATTAATCAAATTACATAACAGAATAAGAAAACATGTTGAATATTACAACCATAGAAATACACAATACGATAAAAGGTAAAGAAAGCAAACCAAAGCCTGTGTGATACCACAGTGTCCTTAAAATAGATTAGCCGCCTCACCATGGGTGCTGGAGGTATGTCGACTCCCAGGATACGACGGTCAAAACCAATTAATGCAGAAGCACCTTCTGAATAGCTTCGGTAAACTTGATAATGGTTGCACTCTCTCTAATAAGAACTAAAGAAGGGACTAGCAAAAGAAGATAAGAAAATTTTTCTTTGGTGTAAAAACCATCTCTAACTTTTTTTATCTCAAAAAAACTGGAACTCTTCTACTAAGTTGGAGGGGAAAGACCTCTATTTATACAAGTAGGGGAATCCCTAGCCATAAAGGCTATACATCAATAGGGTCGTCAAATGCCATTAACCAAGGTAATCAATTCTAGCCATTAGGGCTAGAGTTACTAAGGTTGAAAACCTATGGCCACTAATATGGTCATCAACTCCATCATCAAAAGATGAGTGTTACAAATGTCTAAACCTCCTATGAGCTTAATATATATAAATAAATATGTATATAATGATGTTTGAATAAACCAACTAGATGGGTCACACAATGGATGCCAATGTTGTGTTACAACCTGATCCAAACCCCATTCTCAAACACATGCACAATCTAAGCCCAATACAACATAGCTTAGCTCAAGCTTAAGATTAAGTCCAAGTCTAAGTCCAAGACCAAACCCAACACATGCACAAGCACAAGCACTAGTCTAGGCCCAATCTAAACTAAGATTAAGTCCAAATCTAAGCCCAACTTTTATTGATGTCCACTTTACGAGACAATTCTCATTCACACCTTAATGGTTTCGGCCCATCATTTTTATATTGTAATCTTCTCACTTGAGAGAATACAAAACCACTCAGACCCACCTCAATCGGCGGTTGGGTCTCACTTTAATTTCGAATTAAAGTTGCCGAAAAATCATTATTTTTCAACAATCTCCCACATGAATAAAATTGGCCAAATAAAGAAAACGGACAACGCTTTACAACAAAGACTCAGAGGGAGAGAACACAGACTAATCCTACATCAGAAAAGGTAGCTGTTGGCCTTGAACCTTTCGTACTGAAAGCCTATTGGATTTATTGGCTGACCAGTGAACGTGATGTCTTAAACTGTTCTGCCGTTTGTGTAAATCGAGACGATAGACCTCACACAGAAGTTACTCCAACCATTATTCTTGTTCTCACTGGTGTGTTTGGTTTGGCCCTGGAACACTAGCCTGGTTCAGTGAGCGTTTTTAAAGAATTCAGCCTTGTCAATTCTTAAAGAAGCGGCCCCACTTCTCACTCATATAGGTGACCTACATAAGGTATCTCTCTATACTGTGGTTGACTATTCACAACACTTGGGTCATTAAAAGCATCAGCTTAACCTCCCACCCCACAGGGTATCACTGTATAAAGGAATGGGCAGGAGGATTTACCTCCACAGCGACTCATTCGTTACACGCAATTAGGTTGTCCCTTTGAACCTAAATCTTGGGATCTTCTGTCAACTAGGTTGGGTTTCCATTCCGATGACATTACTAAAGGCCTTAACCCCATTCCTCTTGACGACGTTTCTACTAACTTTTGAGTTAACCCTTTGTGTCATGACCCGAACCTGCCCCTATGGAATATGGTCATAACCAGCCAGTAATCAAGGGATTACCTACGACCTCAAACCAAACAAGACATATCTCATCAGAGTAAAAGGGCCAAACGGAAGCAAATTTAAAACTTTTGTCCATAGAGCTGTGCTTACATGGCATACCATAACAATCCATATATATACATATGTTAATAACTCACATCAATGGAATAATAACACAAGGTTCTGTACATACAGGATCATTCAAGTCTAAGTCAGTCAAATCCAAAGTTTATATACAAAAGTAATCCGATGTTTTCGCCAATATAACAAAACTATATCAAAAGAACAAAAGAGGTGAAGACAAGTCTCGTGCGTGAGACGTTTGCGCTGACTCTTTAAAACCTTGACCATTTCTCATATATTTCACAGAGGCTGGGTTTGGACATCCCTTGGCTCACCTACATACACATGAATGAGCGTGAGTGAAAGCCCAGTGAATAATATCAAATAAAGAAGGTACACGAATGAGATTCACATATAACAAACGGCCTTGGGCCTATTTAGAATTCTATATAGCACATAACTTAGTACATTAGGCAATTCAAGCCCAAACATATCAAACGGCCTCTGGCCCACTTCGTTCCTTAACAAACGGCCTCAAGCCCAAGTCATTGATGTCCAACGGCCTTTGGCCCAATTATCCGTGTCAAATGGCCTTTGGACCAATCATTCACATCAAACAGTGTTCGACGGCCTTTGGCCCAAGCATTCATGTCAAACGGCCTTTGGCCCAATTATTCAGATCAAACGGCCTTTGGCCCAAACATTCATGCATGTCAAACGGCCTTTGGCCCAATCAATTGTATCCAATGGCCTTTGGCCCAACCATGTGGCATAACAAACATTTGTCCACAATTCAAATTAACAAGGTCATAAGACTTATATAGAAATAAGCAATTGGACAAATAACGTACTTCAAAATATCTTTACTAAGATATTGCTCACAGTATTCTGTCAGTGGATTTGCCCTGGAGCTTAACCCTACACATTTCATGAACACAATGGGTCACAAATAATTCATTCCGCTCTTAATTCATACACCATTCTTAGGCTTCTTTCTTATTCTTTTAACTCATTTACAATACTTAATGTATGCCTAAGAGTGCTCAGAAGTGAGAGAGAACGGAAAATGAAACACAAAACATCTTTACAAAATTTCTGAAACAGGGTTCCCCGCTCGAGCGGACCCCTTTGGTCTGCAAAAGTACTGTTTGCCTTACTTTTACGCTCGAGCGTGAACTCAGACGTTCGAGCTGAAAGTCACACTACATGGCTCCCCGCTCAAGCGTGAATGTCCCCGCTCGAGCAGACACCAATGTCTGCAAAAGTTCTGGGAACTCGCATTTCATGCTCGAGCGGTCCCTTCCCCGCTCGAGCGGACATGCCAAATTCTGGGTTTTCCAGAATTCCCTTTGAGCTTCAATCATGCATTCAAGTTGATATTTCTTGCATTTTACAGCCCATATTTCTCATGTATATATACTAACATGATACAAACACCAAATTACAACATTATGAAGCTCAAATCCCATGAATCAAATACATGCATGCCCCAAATCATACCAAATTTATTTCCAACATAACAAATTCATATATTCAACGCCCGTGCTTCTATGAATTGCACTTGCATGTGGAACACAACTTCTATTCTCAACTTAGATGATGAAGAGATGGTAAAAAATATGAACTTCAATTAAAATCTAACATGGATCATACATTTTATGCACAAACATGCAAATTCATAGCAATTTCTCACATACATGCATCTATTAACTTTAAATTCATCAATTACCACTCAATTCTTGTTCTTGGTCACATAATCACTTGAATTCACATGGTTACAAACTCAAACCCATGAATTAAGGGTTGATTACTCACCTAGGAGCTTCAATTCTTCCAAATTTTAGCTAATTCTTGAGTTTATCTTCAAGATTTCCAACTTCTTGATCAAAACTTCACTTGTCTACACACTCTCTCTCTAAATTCGGTTTTCTCTTTCTCCCTAGAGAGCTAATCTCAGCCAAATGAATTAAAAGAGGGGAATTGAGTGAGAATGAGCCTTTTTATAGGCTCTCTTAATCACACTTTATTAACACTAATTAATTGAGCATTATTTTATCAATTTAATCTATTTAATTCGATCCAAATCAATTTTTAATTAAATTTCACCATGGGCTCTAAAAATTACGCTAATCACAATGGCGCAATCAATTTCGAGTTCTACGGCCGATAAGGCCTTCAATTTAATTTCTAAAGCAGAAAATCAAACAGATTTTCCTACGGTAAACAGATAGAAATTCAAAATCACATATATTCATACAAATAGCACTCAAAGTCATATCAAACACATAAACACATTCATAATCAAGATTAATCAGCATAATACGGAACATGGTTATCACACTTTGGTTAGCGGATCCACAATGTTGTCCTTAGACTTTACATAGTCTAGAGAGACAATTCCATTAGAGAGTAGTTGTCGTACGGAATTATGTCCATGACGGATATGTCTAGACTTTCCATTATATATATGACTCTGTGCCCGTCCAATCGCCGATTGGCTATCACAATGAATACAAATAGCAGGCACAGGTTTCGGCCAACATGGAATATCCTCAACGAATTAGCGAAGCCATTTAGCCTCTTCAATTGCTTTATCCAATGCAATAAACTCAGATTCTATTGTTAATCTCGATATACACGTTTGTTTGGAAGATTTCCAAGACACGGCTGCCCCTCTAAGGGTAAACACATAACCACTAGTGGATTTGGAGTCCTTTATATTAGCTATCCAATTAGCGTCACTATACCCCTCTAGTATCACTGGGTATCTGCTATAATGCAGTCCATAATCCCGGGTGTAGCGTAGATAACCTAACACCCGCATAATATCTCTCCAATGAGTGGCATTTGGATTACTCGTGCATTTACTAAGCTTGCTAACAGAGTAGGCTATATTCGACCTTGTACAACTCATCAAATACATCAGACTTCCAATGACCCGAGAATATTCTAGCTGAGAGACACTCTCACCATTATTCTTGGTCAAAAGTAGACTCACGTCTATCGGTGTTTTGGACACACTTGTATCTGGTTTACCAAATTTCTCAAGTATCTTCTCAACATAGTGAGAATGAGAAAGTACAATACCACTAGATGTTCTGGTAATCTCAATACCTAGAATGACATCTGCAAGGCCCATATATTTCATGTCAAATTTAGAGTTTAACAATCTCTTGGTAGTTCGAACCATTTTATCATTACTACCAACAATAAGTATGTCATCTACGTATAGACACAAAATGACA